AATGTTTATTCTTTTAAAACAACTTTAAATGAACTAACTAGGTCATTATATGCTTTTATTGTTTGATTTAACACCCTTTTTTTCAACAAAAACAAAATAAAGATACTGTTAATTTGTGATTGTATCGTATCAGTATAATGGTTATAAGTTTGATTTACAATTTCCTACATGATAAGTAACCTCATTATCAGGTTTATTATTGATTTAGATCCTCATGATTATAGTGAACATAATCAAAAGCTAGAACTAAGCACATTATCTAGTTTCATAAAGTTTAGGTATTTTTGTGATTATTAACAATATCATATCGTAGAAGTAAGAAAAATGACAGACAGAAGTCAAGTGATTGACGATAATACATAATTAATGACATTAGCTAATCAAGGTACCATAAGTAATGATGCGTATTTTAATAAATTACTTATATCTACACCATAAATGTTTGATAAACTAACCTGAATTTTTATGATTATCTAAATTATGCAGTTTTAATTTATTTAAGTTTACGAACTGACTGAATATGGAGTTCATTCATTTATGCTTTATTCCATATTATTAGCCATGTTCTCCATGTAACTCGAAAGTTATGAGCATCATTATTAATGGCATTATTCAGCATGATCCTTTGTGAGTGTCTGAAATCAAACTAAGATTTGTTTGCCCCCTCCCTTCGTTTTAAAAAAGCTCTCTAGGTAATTTTACTTTGTGACCAAGATTATTCTGATCTTTAATGACAGTAGATTTTATAAGTATATAAATACAATCAGTATACTGGCCAGTTTAGCGGCATTTACAGGATGATAGGAAAGGCATAATTAGTGAATTATTTAAATTAAATATTTTAAAGACAACTGCTATTAATATGAAGCAAAAGTCGCTTTCAGAGTGAATAATTAGTGATAACAAAACACTGTGTTTATGAAGCATAGAGAGACTGAGAATATGGTACAATGTCAACATTGGGTAATTCTCAAAACTATAAATATAATATCTTTACTACGAAACGTGCATCAAGCTGTTTATTTATTTAATTTTAGCTTGATGTTTTATATTATTTTTGTGTACAGTTTAAACTAATGGTCATTGTTAATGAGCAGGATTGCAGTGATTTTATTGCTTGTACAATACATTTGATTCCTGGAAGAGAAGAAAATCTAATTAAGTTATGGTAATCTTAATATTGATCAACCAGTCGATAGTTTTATCATTATCAATATCAAACCTATCGGAATCTGTCAAATGTTTTATTTAAATGAAACAATAGGAAAGGCATAGGTAGACTAAAACATCTACTTAAAGACAATTCAAAATAAACTGTAGAATATTTAATGATTCTAGTCTAGTTTCAAAGTGTTTGTTATATTCGGTCGTCGCAATTGTTGTGCCGAAAAAAAATGCTGATCACTTATACTTGAAACGAGGGACCACTGCAATTCCCACGATGCGAAAGTAAGAACACAAGACTGGTATAAGTGAAGATTTATTAGCCCGAACATGAGTATTACCGAGTTTACTGTTATGTAATAGAACTAAGACTGAAGTTATTAAATTGTTTAAAGATCGCCATCATATTAAAAGACTAATATTTGAACGAAGAATATACTTTACGATAAATTCTCTTTAGGTTCTACAATTATATATTCAAATTACTAATCTTCTCAATACATGATTCATTTACTTCTCATTCATCTCACCTTATTATGTCTTACCATATTCTTCCACTAAATATTTGATGGAATTGTAATTGCACTATTATTTCTCTCATCCTATCTTACTTACTTACTTGCTTACGCCTGTTACTTCTAATGGAGCATAGGCCTCCAACCAGCATTCTCCAACTCACTCTATCCTGGGCTTTCCTTTCTAATTCCATCCAATTCTTGTTCATTTTTCTCATGTCTATCTTCATTTCTCAACGTAATGTGTTCTTTGGTCTTCCTCTTTTCCTTTGGCCTTGAGGATTCCATGTGAGGGCTTGTCTTGTGACGCAGTTGGGTGCTTTCCTCAATGTGTGTCCTATCCACTTCCAGCGCTTCTTCCTGATTTCTTCCTCCACTGGGATCTGGTTTGTTCTCTCCCACAGTACGTTGTTGCTAATAGTGTCCGGCCAACGGATCCGAAGTATTTTGCGTAGACAACTGTTAATAAACACTTGTATTTTCTGGATGATGGCTTTCGTAGTTCTCCAGGTTTCTGCCCCATACAGTAGAACTGTCTTGACATTTGTATTGAAAATCCTGACCTTGGTGTTGGTTGACAGTTGCTTTGAGTTCCAGATGTTCTTCAGTTGTAAATATGCTGCTCTTGCTTTGCCGATCCGCGCCTTCATATCTGCATCAGATCAACCCGGTTCATCAATGATGCTGCCCAAATATGTAAAGGTTTTTACATCTTCCAAATCTTCTCCGTCAATTGTGATTGGATTGGTGCATGCTGTGTTGTATCGGAGAATCTTGCTTTTCCCTTTGTGTATATTGAGACCTACTGCTGCTACACTGCTCGTTTACTCCTGCATTTGTTGTTGCGTTTGAGATAGAAGAGCCAGATCATCTGAGAAGTCTAGATCGTCCAACTGCATCCTAGATGTCCATTGTATCCCGTGCTTCCCTTCAGATGTTGACGTCTTCATGATCCAGTCGATCACCAGGAGAAAGAGAAAGGGTGAGAGTAAGCAACCTTGCCTAACACCGGTCTTCACTTTAAACGACTTTGTCAACTGTCCTCCATGCACGATTTTGCAGTTTAATCCATCATAGGAATTCTCTATGATATTGACTATCTTCCGAGGCTCGCCGTAGTGTCGAAGAAGCTTCCATAGTGTTGTTCTGTCCACGCTATCAAATGCTTTTTCTTAGTCAATGAAGTTGATGTAGAGTGATGAATTCCATTCAATTGATTGTTCCACAATGATCCGTAGAGTTGCGATTTGGTCTGTACACGATCTATCCTTACGGAATCCTGCCTGTTGGTCACGAAGTTGGGCGTCTACGCAGTCCTTCATCCTGTTTAACAATACCCTGTTGAAGACTTTTCCCGGTATTGAGAGAAGAGTGATGCCCCTGTAGTTATCACGGTTGCTGAGATCGCCTTCCTTTGGTATCTTGATCAGATGTCCTTTCCAGTCTGTGCTTCATCTCAAATCTTGCTGATGAGAATGTGGTGTATCTTTGCAGTTACTGCTACCTCTGATTTCAGTGCCTCTGCTGGAATGTTGTCTGGTCCTGCTGCTTTGCCACTCTTGATTTGTCTGATGGCCATGCTGATTTCTTCAATTGTTGATGGGCCAACATTGATTGGGAGGTCCGTGGGTGCTGCTTCGATGTTGGGTGGGTTCAGTGGAGCTGGTCGATTCAAGAGTTCTTTGAAGTGTTCTACCCACCTGTTTTGTTGCTCTGCAAAGTTGGTGATTACCTCACCTTCCTTGCTTTTCACTGGTCATTCTGGTTTGCGGCAATTTCCTTCTCTTGCAGCCTTTTCCGTCGTCGTTGCTAAATTTTTCACATATTTACGTTTGTCGGTTCTGATGCTCCTCTTCACTTGTTCGTTTACTTCTGTGTATTCAGCATGTGCCTTGGCTTTTTCTGCTCTTGTTCGACTGGTATTGATCGCTGCCTTCTTGTTCCTCCTTTCTTGAACCTTATCCAGTGTATCAACAGTGATCCATTCCTTGTGGTAGTGCTTCTTGTGGCCCAGAACATCATGGCATGTTGAATTGATTGCTTCTTTGATCCCCTTGCAGTTGCTTTCCATAGTAGTTCCTTCTCCATTGAGTAGATCATGAAAGGCCTGGAACTTATTGCTGAGGACTATCTTGAATTTGTTGAGTTTGTTAGTATCCTGAAGAAAGGCCGTATTGAACTTTTGTGATATTGTCCGCCCCGTTGGCCAGTGCTTCTTGAGTTTCAATTTCATTTTGGCGACCAGCAAGTGATGATCTGAGGATATATCAGCTCCTTTCTTGATTCTCACGTCTTCCATCGTCCTCCTGAACTTTTTGCTGATGCAGATATTGTCGACTTGGTTTTGTGTAGTGTGGTTTTTTGTGTGCGTTTATGTAGGAATATGGTGCCGCCTATGACCAGTTTATTGAAGGCACATAGGTTTGCAAATCTCTCACCATTTTCGTTCCTTTCTCCCAGTCCGTGTCTTCCCATGATGTCTTCATATCCAGTGTTGTCCGTTCCAACCTTGGCGTTGAAATCTCCCATCAGAATGGTCAGGTCCTTTGTTGGGCACTTTTCGATGATCGACTGCAGCCTATTGTAGAATTGATCTTTAGCGTCTTCATTGTAATCGTTGGTAGGCGCATAGCATTGGATGACGTTCATTGAAATGCCCTCTTTCTTTGTTTTGAAGGAGGCTTTGATGATCCTTGGTTCATGAGATTCCCATCCCATAAGTGCATTTTGTGCTTGTTTCGACAGCATCAATGAGACTCCTTGTGTATGTGGGGCATTTTCTTCATCATGGCCGGAGTATAACAGAAGCTCTCCTGAAGCTAGTCGTTGTTGTCCAACTTGCGTCCAATGTGTTTCACTGATCCCAAGCACCTCTAGGTTGTATCTTCTCATTTGTGCAGCAATTTGGAAGGCTCTCCCGGTGTCCCACATCCTATCTGACTCATATTTATTCTGTTTATGGATCTTAAATTTTCACTTAACATATAATCTGAGTCAAATCAACACTCTATGTAAGTCATATCAATGTAAACAATTTTATTCCATTTTGTTTGACAATCCTGAACTTGCATGCTTTAAACGATATACTTTGCCCTTGACCTGTTCATTTTTCGGATTATTAATTTGGATATGTGAATTGTAGAACTTGAAGAGAATTTATCGAAAAGAATATTCTATGTTTAAATATTAGTCTTTATTAAATTGTAACTTGAGATTGCTTGCAAATGAGATTATTCTACGGTTTCTGAAAGTATATATGGCATGATTTTGAATTTATCTAGGGTGAGTCACTGATTACCGTTGTTTATATTTATATTTCAGTTTTACGTGTTTATATTTACAAAGAATCTGTGGAACCTAATGGTCAACGCCACTACTTAGCTTATATCTATCAAGTATACAAGGTGAGTTAATTGAGTGTATGAAATATTTACTGTCATGATATTCTGTATTTGGATAGTGTTACAGTTTGTTATTACCTTAATTTAAATAAAACGCTTGAAACTTAAGCTATGCGTCATATTCAAGTGAATCACAAGGTGATATTTTCACTTTTAAAAAATTCCACTCACCTTGTACATTACAAAAATGAATATCCTGATTAAGTTTTCACCTACTTGATTATAGCATGTTCCCGATTGATAAAGATGCCCAAAAAAATCGACTGTAGAAAGTAGGATTTTGAAGGAAATCCAAGAATTCCTTAATAAATTTTCGTGTAATTATTATGCAAACCACTTTTTAGGATGATTCATATCTCAAAAAATTAGTTTAGTAGACTTGAGTTTATCTTGAAATACAACCGTTGATAGAAGTGGATTGAAAACACTGTCTATTTAAATAGTTCGGGAGATATTTATATATATCAACAATAATTCCCTACACATTCTAAACAGCTGCTATGCTTGGTTGACGATTCCCTTATCATAGTAATTTTTGCGCTAGTTTCAGCCACAAACCCATATAAATATCGTTAGTTGACGGTCGGATAGTTTGTTTGAGTTCTTTCGCAGATACTAACTACACTGAATTACTTTGATAAACTCGAATGAAATGATTTTTGTGTCGTATTGATTGTTGGTCTGTTGTTAATGGTCTAATACTTAATCCATCTAAATGTCAAGCTGTTAACTTTAGCATGAGACATGAACGGCATCTAAACACCACTTTGAGATCCCATAATGCTTGTGGCATTGGAGACTCTTTGACAAAAACAATGTCGAAGTTCAATCATCTTTGTGTTACCTTTTCCCCTGATCTCTCCTGGTCTTCTCACGTTTTACTGTTATCGAAGAAAGTTTTCCGTCTGACTCACTACATAAAGAGATTGTATGCTCCTGGGATTTACTCTTATAATTTGTCGATTCTTGCATATTACCTATTATTCTTTACTGTTCTCCATTATTCTTTCCCGGACTTTCGAGAAAAGACTTTGCTGTATTGCGGAGAGTGCTGAAGACAGTTAGCAAGGTGTATGGTGATCTTTCGAGGTCATAATTAATATGGTTGTGGATAGACATCTAAAATCATGCAAACTCCTGGCAGGTGTTATTTTATCAGATACCAACCATCCCCTTCACTCTTATCTTTCTCCTTGTATATCTTCTGGTAGAACGAGACATAATTACATTAAAATCCATGCACTCCAGAAAAAGTATAAAAGTTCTATAATACCTTACTAGCAAATATACTCTGTGGCGAACAAGTTTTTAGAGTTAACCTATTCAATAACCTGCATTCTTAACATGTCTATAATTTGGGATGTTGTATAGTATTTTTAGATTTTTTTGTGACCTTTTTCAACTTTCTTCTTTGTTTTTGTTCCTGTTTTTTGTAAAAGAAACTTGTTGAAATATCTTGTGCTGAGAATTCTATATTGTAACAAAACATAATATTGAAAAAGCCATTAACAATAAAAAAGTCTATGATTATTTTGAGAATATTTAAATTACATTCTTAATTGAATTTTGATTGGGATGCTCTAACAGACATTGTACATGCGTTTTTAATAGGTTTCGTTAACCCGTAGTAGTTTTTTCTTCTAATTTAGTGAATACAATACATCTTACAAAAGGTCAGCATTTTAATTTCAGATCATTAAATAATTTCAATGATCCTGGAAGCACTAGACGGCCGTTTCGTCTTATTGTGGGACTCCTGAGTTGTGAGATAGTAACTCACTGAGGACAATGGCGGATGTGTCGCTCAATTTCGTGGATTAGTTGAAGTTAGACACTAACACCGTTGGATGCCGGCTCAGTGGTCTAGTGGTTAAGTGCTCGCGCGCAAAACCTGTAAGTCCTAAGTTCGAATCTCGCAGAGGACGAGGTCGTGGATGAGCACTGTTGAGTGATCCCACAATAGAACGAAACGGCCACCCAATCCTTCCATGTTTTCCATGGTGGTTTAGCTTCAACTGACTCATGATCGTAACCACTGAAATTATCAAATAATTGTTGTCGTGGTCCTTTAAGGGCGATATTTAGATCCCTAGATTAAATATTAAAACATTGGTTTGCATGATAACTATCTATGTTGATTCAAGCTTGTACCTATTTTCACACAAATTGCATTTGACCTTCTGCTAGACTACAGTGTAATTTCGCTTTAGCTTTCCTTACCTTTGACTAGCATTCGAGCCCAGGCGAAATGTTTCATCCTATTTATGATTTGTCAACAGGATGTAATTGCACTCTAATTTACATGTTCACTTCCAGACATGAACATAAAAATGTTTGTTTCAAATGGTCGATGAGTTATAAATTAAGCTTCTGAGTCCAGATACGCAATGGCTAGTGCAACAGATATGAACTTTCTATGAATTAACAAGTGTTTAAATCTTCTCACTGCTAATATTAGGGATTGACTTTCGATCAATCTCTTGTGGAATATAATCATCTTGGGCAGATCAACTCGATAATGTCATTTGGTCATGTTTTTAAGTAAAACATGAATAGTGCATAGCCTAATGTATAACACATTGAGTATTTACAATGAAACATACTAAATTATAGAATTAGTGTGAACATTAACCTCGAGTGCGGACAGAACCTTCTGACGAGTCGCGATTAAAATGAAACAAGAGTCCATATTTATTTAATAGCTTATGATTTATTAATATCCAGATGTTCATTCAAAATAAACACAATCCACATGAGACCTGATAAAAAAATTCAAACCTTAACATCAACAACGAGGAGGTCCGAACACAAATAAATAGAAGATTAATTTACGATTAAACAAAAGCCAGATTTAACTAATCTTTATTACGTCAGCTCTACGTAACTTTTGTCTGAACCAAGTCTTAAAAGAATACTGTTTATTGTTTTTCTACCACCATTCGATATTCTTTGAACTAAATTTTTTTTAATAACTACTTTTTATCGTGTTAATTTTAACGCTAAGTTGAATAAATCTTTGTTCATAAGAATAATAAAAAACCATCTGTTAGCTACTAATGTCTTTGATTAGACCGATATACAGAAATAAATAATCTGTATTAGTCTACGAGTAAATGTAATTAGTGATTTTTAATTCATAGACTAATATGATTGGGATATCAGATTAAAAAGAAGTGTCTTATATAGCAACATTCAAATTAAAATTTATGTAGATATAAATGTTTTGTGAATAACTGTATGATTTATCAAAATTATTAAGAAAAAGAAACAATAATAGGCTGGATGTTTATAAGACTTAGAATATGTCTGGTAGTGAAGTTCAGGAAGCAAGTTTCTTTCTGTTTTCAACTCGTCAATTTACAGTATGTGTGCTTCTCAATGTTAATGCTTATATTGAACCTTTAAACTATTATATATCCATCCGATGAGTGTAGAATGAGACGACAGGTACTTTCTTGATTACACCGTTAGCCACATTCAAACAACGGTAAGGCTATGTATCTAAAAGGCAGACATGATTGGATATTAGTTAATATTGACATACTTTTATCCTACCGAAGTTCTATATTTGTTGTTCGAAATGTATTACATATTACTTTAGTTCATTAGCATCTCTCACCGTGAAACATCTTTAGAGTTAATACCTCAAAAATATCTAATCTTGCTTCCAGTTCAATATTTGATTAGTCTAAAGTTAGTTTCCATGCCCATTTCTCTCAAGAATTTGGATGTAAATGGTAAATAAGAGAAACAAAGACCTTCTAGCCTAATAAATTAAAAATGCGATAAAATCCATCACCTAGTTTCTACTAATAATAATTCCAAAATATTACAGGGAATACCTTGACGTATATATTTTTTTTCAAAATATTTAAAATTAAGCAATAAATTTCGAATTCACGAATGCTAAGTTTGATTCATTTGGAGGTGATGTTATAGCTCAAAGCCGCTAATCAGAAGCAGCGAATTATCGATCGGACTAAGGACGCGTAAAATATTTGCGAGCAGCCTAGAGTCCTGATTAATCCTGCTTACCGCCTAGCCCAGCCAGTTTAGTCCAGAACACCAGTCTCGGCCTCTGCAATATGAATCATTATATTTCAAACATACTGGGTTTATATACCAATCAAACAGACCACAACGTACCAATAAAATATGAAACAACATTTGTACAGGAATTAGTCAGATGTGGCTGTGAATGAGGGAGGAGTAATTAATATACTGGGTATAACTCAAGAATGGTAAAACGTATAATAATAGTTTATGGGTCAAAATAAAGCTTATAATAAGAGGAATATGAATATACATAGTACAGTTACTTAATAATTATACAATAGAAATATACGTTAAGTATTGGTCCATTAGTAGATTCCAAAAGTTACCATCCATTATTGTTATCGGGACATAACATTTACTTACGCCTGTTACTCCTCATGAAGGAGCATAGGCCGCTCACCAGCATTCTCCATCCAACCCCGTCCTGGGCAATCCTTTCTAGCTCCGTCCAGTTGTAATTCATCGTTTTCATATCTGCTTCTATAGTGCGACGAAATCTGTTCCTTGGCCTTCCTCTTTTCCGCTTCCCTTCAGGATTCCAAGTTAGGGCTTGCCTCTTGATGCAGTTTGACGATTTGCGCAATATATGTCCTATCCATTTCCATCGTCTTTTCCTAATTTCTTCTTCAGCTGGAAGTTGGTTTGTTCTCTGCCACAGAAGGCTGTTACTGATGGCATCCAGCCAATGGATGTTGAGTATCTTGCGTAGACAACTATTTATAAATACTTGTACCTTCTTGATGATGGTTGTTGTAGTTCTCCAAGTTTCAGCCCCATACAGTAGAACTGTCTTGACGTTCGTATTGAAGATTCTCACTTTGATATTGGTTGAAAGTTGTTTTAAGTTCCATATGTTCTTCAATTGTAGGAATGCGTCCCTTACTTTGCCGATCCTCGCCTTTACGTCTGCATCTGAACCTCCTTGTTCATCGATGATGCTTCCCATGTATGTGAAAGATTCTACATCTTCCAGAGTTTCATCAACGAGTGTGATTGGATCGGTGTTCTCCGCTTTGAATTTGAGGACCTTGGTTTTCCCCTTGTGTATGTGTATGTTGAGGCCTACTGATGCAGAGACTGCTGCTACATTGGCTGTCTTCATCTGCATTTGTTTGTGTGTATGTGATAGGAGGGCTAGGACATCTGCGAAGTCCATGTCGTCTAATTGGTTTTGAGCTGTCCATTGTATTCCGTGTTTTCCTTCAGATGTCGAGGTCTTTATAATCCAGTCGATCACCAGAAGAAAGAGGAATAGAGAGAGAGTAAACAGCCTTATCTGACTCCGATCCTTGCTTGGAATGCATCTGTCAGCTGTCCTCCATGCACTACTTTGGGGACATAACGGGTGACAACAAAAACTAATATACCATTCATGCTACTTCAAGATATTTATTTAATATGTAAAAAAATTATAGACCGAGTCTCTTTAAACTAATTATTATGGGTGTGAAGTTTAACAAAATCATAATTTTTATGTAGTAGACCATCATTAGTAAAATCAAAATGTATTTGTGTCTTAACACATAATTATAATATAAAGTGTAATAAAAATATTGATTGCATAATTGTAATTAAAAAGCTATTCATTTTACATATTTTCAATACACATAGTGAATAACATAGTGGAACTGAGGAAACTAATGACAATTAGAACGGTTTTTTTCTTTCTTCCTTTTTCTTTCTACAAAATATTTTGATGAAACCAAATGTATTTGAAAACTTTGATATTACAGTGTAATTTACATAGAATTCAAAAGTAAAATGTTTGCTAGGCTAATTTGAGACTGAAATGTCACTTAAAACACACAGTCAAACTATATTGAAATAAAGTAGTTTCGTTATCTTAAAAATTTCTCCACAGAGCAACATTAAGCACATCACTCGATTATAAATCACATATCCGATACATAATAACAGATTATTAGATAAGTAGGAATAAATATTAGACTGAGAACTAGAATAATAGACCCAATAAATCCCCGAGATACACTTGACTCATTTATCCAACCCAAACTGGAGATCTATAAACAAACCAAGACAACAGAATATTAAGCTGTCAACAATCTAACTTGAAGCACAAAACATGGAACCAGTTTTATATATAAGGCAGGCTTTTATATTTGGTTCAGCCGGATATCTCTAAATTTGCACCTTAGCCAATCACCGATTCCATTGTCCCATATATCACAGTTTGTTAACCAGAACCCCATATAAGTTTATTTTTCAGTCTTAAAACAGATTAGAAATCTTGTTACGTGGATTGGTTTGTTTTGACTATATTAAAAGAGTTGACTGTTCAAATTTAGTCTAGTATAAAGTAATGGGACAAGAAGCAAACACTATGTAAATTTCTATTAATAGAATGTATGATTATCTTAGATCTGTTATAGAGCATAATCTTCCGTTTTAACGTTAAATGAAAAAAATATTGTATTAAATTAAAACTGACTAATTTGTTATAATCATTAGAAAAATTTACTCGCAAATAAATAATCAACTTGATTTTATGTGAGATTTATCAAACCTAGTTGTTTTGTCTATTCTTGAAATGATCACTCATTCAACAACTGTTATACTAATTTGCCATTGGATACTTATGCATCATAATTATTTCATCTTAAAAAATAGAAAGCAAATGAGTGATGATAAAATGTTAAGTACAAACATTTCCAAGATTCAAAGTTCAAAATATCAATTAGTATGATGCAAGATGGTTGGAATTTATTTTCTAAAGATAAATCCCAAATATAGCTTTTCAAGTGAGCTTATATTAAGAGCTCTTCATATAGTCTACCTCAGCGTTTGAACATTTTGATTTTATAGTCTAGAAGATATATAAACATAATTCTTCTTAATGGTTCGAAGATATTTTGAATACTATAATTAACATATGTAAACGTGATCCATATATATAAATGTTAAATTGGACTTAGTAGTTGAAATAAATTGAGTATTGAGTAGAAGGTTAATAAATATCGGTGAATGCGCACTGCTGAAGAGCCTCACAATAGAACAAAACAGCCGTCCAGTGCTTCCAGGTCTTCAATTATGGTCTAGCTTACATCGACTCATGAATTCAACTATTAAAATATATTTTTATATTCTAATGAACAGAAAAATTGTGTTATATTATAAATGTAATGTGTTTTACACGTTTCTTACAATCATCACATGTGATAAATGAAATCAGAGCAAGAAACTACTGAAATCAGTAGTATTTAATTCATTGACCACAGTATTAGCTTTGTATTTGTAATTTCTCAGCCAAAACTACCGCTATTTTACCTTAGAGTAAATTGCTTAAAGTCAAGAAAGCTACTGAAAATGAACTAATTAAACTCATCCTTTTGGAAACCGTTTTTTTAAATAGTTTCGTTAATTAAGTAACGTTGGATAGGTTACCCAAATTTTCGCAAACAAATTCAACATAATAAACTGTACGTAGGTTAGATTTTGATGAAGCTGAAAAAGTAAAACAGTTTATTTTCTAAGTGTTCATCTACTGTTGGTATTTATCACATTGTATTAATACATTCGACCACCTTAATATGGAATTCATTATTGTTCTACCAATAATGATCTAGTTAGTAAGCACTATTTGTCTGAAGTAATACTGATATCAAACGTTTTGGATCACATTAGTTATTCATTAGTAAAACTGAGAGGCTCTCACATTTTCTAAAAGTATATAGGTTGTTCATTATGTTGGTTAAGAAAACAAACTGCATGTTACTTCAGATTCAATGATTCCTAAAATGAAAGATCTATTAGATATGAATTAAGTAATGATTTATTGTTTAGACAAATTTTAAGCTGACAAGAAAAATTCATTATTTGTGTACATTTCATCCACCTAATATCAGCCTTCCACTTATATTTATAGTCTAGTTTTCTTAAAACATTCGCATATCAGTAGCAACATTCAAGACTGTAAGAATCATTTCCTAGACTACAGAATCAAAATCCTCAAGTAGACTATATAGAAAGCTCTTAATATAAGCCCACTTTAAAATCTATGTTTATTATTTCTGAATTTCTATATTATTATGTTTTATAAATAAAATGTATCCCATTTTTTATGATGAAAGCCACTCAACTTATTTCTTATTTTAATTTTATAGGATATTAAACATTATATGCAACCAACTCTTGTTCGACAAATCGTATATAATTGTGATCGATTTCAAACTGGTCCAATGCTAGGTGAAGTATACTTAATAACAGGTTAGTTTAAGTCTGTCCGGTATTGTTATTATTTCAATGATGAATATATATTGACAGCTATTTATTTATTCAAGTACATTTTACAAATTATTTTGGAATATGAAAACAAGTCCAAAAGATTAGAAGTACAGTATCCCACATGCTGTCCTATTTAATCAACTACCTGTATAATATACAAATTATAGTTGTATATAATAATGCATTGTATTCATTATTTTCAGGTTCTTAACAGATCATTATTTAAGTATAACTAATGAAACATGCAATCTTTAATAATGTCTTCACAGACATGATGTACCTTTACTTCGTCTTTATGAATGAGAGAATAAATGTATAAACTTCCAACCTATTCACTACATATACAATACTTCAATTTACTGTTTATAATTTATTATTCTTAGGAGAAAACACACAGAAAAACTTTATTTATCTAAAGATTACTTTATTCACAATTAGAGAACCATTGAAAACACTCATTTTCTGGTTCTCTTTTGTCTACCAGTGGTCTTAAATAATAAATAATACAAAGTATTACATAGTGATACAAAACCAACAAATTAAATATGGGTTTCGATTTAATATTTTCTCATAAATACTTGGTCTCAAAATGTACTCTATAATACGTTGAAATATGTTTTTAACCTTCTCCCCCCCCTAACAGCATATCCATTTGATTTTTATTCATGATTATCACCTAATCAATGCTTCGTTTGAATTTCGTCTTTCTCCATTACTTCTCCATTCATTAAACTAAGAATAATAAGGATTGTATGATATAGTGAGTTCATTTCATTTAGTACCGATTGAATCTTCTACTTACACACTGAAATATAGAAACAAATGAAGTTTTTCCCGAATGTAATTTTCTGCTTAACATCTATAAAGTCATTTAGTTTAAAAGTGAAAAAAACAATTATAATTTCAATGGTTAAGATCATGAGTCAGTTGAAACTAAACCACCATGGAAAATCTGAAGCATTGGACGGCCGTTTCGTCCTATTGTGGGACTACTTAGCAGTACACATCCACGATCTCGCCCCCCTGAGAGATTCGAACCCAGAACCTACTGGTTTCGCACGCGAGCATTTAACCACTAGACCACTGAGCCGGCATCCAACGGTGTTATTATAATTATTAGTTTACGGGTTGTGGAGTTTGTCAAGTTTTTGATTGAGACCATGAACCGATTGATGTTAGACAACCACCGAAAACATGGAAGCACCCAGCAGCGTGCACCCGCGATCCCACCCGGGGGACTCGAACCCAGGGCCTTCAGTATAACCTACTGGACCGCTGAGCAGGCATCTAATGGTGTTAATGTCTAACCTCAACCAATCCACGAAATTGCGCGACAATCTTCCATTTTACTGAGGTAGATACCTGTCTCTACCCGACACAGATTAGCTCCACTGGTCACGGCTTCTCACTAGAACACCGAGAATTTTTTCACGAAGCAAGTCACTAGTGCCCACATGGTAATTATCAATTTAGGGGTTATGGAGATTGTTAAGTTTTTGATTGAGATACACGTTTCCAATGGTGGTCTAACATCAATCGGTTCATGATCTCAATCAAAAACAATTATAATTACCTTCTATATTCATAAGATTTCATTTTGTAGACAAACTAATTCAGAATTAACTGTGACGTACAAAACCCAAAAGAAATATATGTAAACTATTATGATTACGGCAGACAAATAGTAAAAGTAGCATTATCAACCATGTAATAATGATAAAGTCATTGTGATAATGATGTCAGTTGTCATAATCATAATAATGATGGTATGAGAAAGAACGATTGCTTTGATATCTAAATTGATAAAACTTCAAACATTTAAATAACATAACTAGATTTAATTACCACAAATAAAAGATGAACATTTGACTAAAACGAAGTTGTTATTGTGATCAAATGAAGACAAAGAATTTTTGTACAGGGGTAAAATATACTAAACGTACTTTGAATTTTGTAAATGAAAGACAGAAGGAAAAAAAGGTAAAGGTAACTGTAAATTAATAAATACGATAACTTTTGGTAAACTAAAAATTCTTTTCGTTACATATAAATTAAGGATACGGCAATGATCAGTCATTCATTATGGTTCCACGCTAATATACATGATTTATAAATATAAACACAACGATTATCCAACAAGTGATGATGAGATCTGAATATATTCATCTTAACAGTTTGAAATAATGACAGAGTGCTCATGTCTTGAAAGACCTGGAAAATTAATTCACATAGTTTAGTTCATTAAATTTCTTCTGATCAAATCCTGTTCTGTAAACTAAAACAAATTTGCCAATGTAAATTATATATTGTCAGAGATAACTAATTATTTTATCTAAAATATGGTCAAAATAAATCACACTAGACAGCTATCATTTTCCATAGATATACAACCAACTTTTACTATTTTCTTCATATAAAATAAAATAAATTTTCGAAAAGACTAAAGTTTGGTAATATTTTCATATTTAAAAATATATGTGCAACTGAATATTTAGTATCTTGCAATGATAATAAAATCTGTAGTGTTTGTACTTTTTGGCAAGCTTCCATCAGAAAAATGTTTAGTGTACAGTTGCTCCAACATTTAAAAGGGTAGTTGATTATTAACATCTGTCAGTGGTCATTGTCAAAAGTTGTAAAAACTGCTGACACTTATTCTCTTATAACCTCGGGTATATATATAAGGGGGTAAAAGTGAAGAAAGGCATAACAATTTACGTTTTCAATAATTGTATTCTTTTTTTGATAATGGGATAAGGGAGATCGATTTGTGTCAACTTTATGATAATTTTTACTTGGAATAATATTTATGAAAAAGAAGCGTCGGTTGGTAAAAGTGTTTATAAAACATACTATTTCGACTATCAATTAATACACATCAGTTTATGGCCACTTCATACAGAAATAACCTTAACCATACATATTACAAAAATAGTTCAAATAATGTCACATACAAGAAATTGAGGAAATGTGAAATAGGCTGGTTGAAACAAATTACCCTAGAAAAAAAACTGTTTTTATTAAGAAACAAGAAATTTCTTTTTTATTTGGAATTAAAGTTAATAACTATCAAATGATAAAAGATTTGAATCACTAAAATATATGCAACTTCTATTAAAGTAAAACTTATTAAATTTAAATGAAGTTAGTATTGATTGTTGAAAGCTATATATTTCTTTGATGATTTTGATTATTACTTTGAAGAAGTCCAGACAAGTTAGCTGGACGAAATGTTGGAATTATTTAAATTTCAATCGCTGAGATTAGTTCAAATATAATTTTCACATATCATGACTTCCCTCTACTCGATGCCCAATTTTTGTCAAACTATTTGTTTTAATCTTGACGAATATTCGTATAAATGAAGTTAGTATTGTTTTATTGAACAATAATTAAAGAGAATAAATTATCCCATTTCCATCCCTTACTAGTTGCTATGCATGGATTATGTGATAGGATTTTGTGTCTTACAACGAGTAACTTAAAATTGTATAAATTTTACTTCATTTCATATATATATATATATATATATATATATATATATATATATATATATATATATAATAGTAATTAAAGCGTATTGAGACTTTCAAAGTCAAAATAATTTAAATCGATAATGACAATTATGGTATGAAAAAGAAACGTTATACAAATGAATAAGTTTATGAAATAACCAAATATCATTATAAAGTGTAAACAACTTTGTTTAATACACTCACTATGACGTAATAGTTAAAGATTTCATGTGGAATATAATATTTTAAATTATTACAAATCATATTCGACATAAAATAATTTAATGTTAATCATATTTACGAAACATATATTTTTGATTCAGTTGATGCTCATATAATACACAGGTTAGTATAATTTATTCTGATTAAAAAGAAAAGACTTAACGATCCGCTTTTCCAAAAAGAACAGATTATGTTCTGATCTGAACGGATAGAAATAAAGTGAGATAAGACTTTACTCAAGTATGTTTTGTCAAAAAACCTAGAAAACCATAAAGCGAAGAAGATGAGGCAGTGGACTTATTTCTGCTTAGGAAGGTGTTCAATGGTTTACAAAAGAAACGAACCCATAGATATCTAAAAATAAGGTCAAGCGCTCGTGCGTGAAAAAAGTAGGTCCTGGGTTCGAATCTCACGGGGAGCGGGATCGTGAATGCGCAACGCTGAGGAGCCCCATACCAGGACGAAACGGCCGTACAGTGCTTCTAGGTTGACTCATGGTTTCAACTATTGAAATTTCTAAAAAATCTCCACGAAACCCCTTCTAAAAACATTATCATTTATTACTTACTTACTTACGCCTGTTACTTCTAATGGAGCATAGGCCACCGACCAGCATTCTCCAACCCACTCTGTCCTGGGCCTTCCTTTCTAGTTCCATCCAATTCTTGTTCACTTTTCTCATGTCTATTTCCATTTCCTGACGTAATGTGTTCTTTGGTCTTCCTCTTCTCCTTCAGCCTTGAGGATTCCATGTGAGGGCTTGCCTTGTGACGCAGTTGTGTGCTTTCCTCAATGTGTGTCCTATCCAGTTCCAGCGCTTCTTCCTGATTTCTTCCTCCGCTGGGTTCTGCTTTGTTCTTTGCCACAGTACGTTGTTGCTTATCGTGTCCGGCCAACAGATCCGAAGTATTTTGCTTCGACAACTGTTAATAAACACTTGTATTTTCTGGATGATGGTTTTCGTAGTTCTCCAGTTTTCTGCCACATACAGTAGAACTGCCTTGACAATTGTGTTAAAAATCCTGACCTTGGTGTTGGTTGACAGTTGCTTTGATTTCCAGATGTTCCTCAGTTGTAAATATGCTGCTCTTGCTTTACCGATATTATCATTTATTACTCAGTATTAAGTATGTGTTGTTTCTTTCATTGTTTAGTATCCAAATCAACAACATTATATTGTTTTACGTATATTACATGTATAAAGAAATGATCAACTACTAAATTTAGATATGATTATTTCTAAGT